AAAAAAAAAAAAAAAAAAAAAAAAAAAAAAAAAAAAAAAAAAAAAAAAAAAAGACAATCAACAGATACCAAAACTAAGATGACAGAGAATTATCTGAAAAGACTTTCAAACAGCTATTAAAATAATGCTCCAAGAAGAAAATTCTTGAAATTAATTGAAAGATAGGAAGTTTCAGCAAAGAAATAGAATACATAAAGAATTAGGTGGAAATTTTATAACTAAAAAAGAAAAAAAACGAAACTTAAAAGCATTCTATGGGATCATTAGTAGAATGGAGATGGCAGAGTAAATAGTAAATGTCAAGGTAGATCAATAGAAATAGTACAATCTGAAAAATGATGGAAACGAACAGAGACTTGGAGAGCTGTGGGATAATACTGAATGGTCTAATGCTTATGTGATTGGAGTCTCTGAAGGGAAAGGGAAAAAATACTGTACAGAAAGATATTTGGGAAAACAATTCCTCTGAAAATTCCTCTAATTTGAAAAGTGGGAGCTAAGCATTGGGTACTCATGGACACAAAGATGGCAACAGTAGACACTGGGTACTACTAGAGCAGGGAGGGAGAGAAGAGGGCAAGGAATGAAAACCTAACTGTTGGGTACTATGCTTATTACCTGAGCAATGGGATCATTCATATCTCATATCTCAGCATCATGCAATATACCCATGTAACAAACCTACACATATACCCGCTTAACCTAAAATAAAAGTTAAAATTATTTTTTAAGTGCTGAGAGAAAAGAACTGTTAGGCCCAGAATTCTATATCCTGCAAAAATATCATTCAGAAATGAAATTAAAGACATTCACAGATGAAAGAAAACAAAGATTTGTTGTCAGTAAACCTGCTCTAAAAGAATTGCTAAAGAACATTTTTTAAACAGAAGGGAAGTGATACCAGAAAGAAACTTCGCACATCAGGAATGAAGGAAGAACAACAGAATGATAAATGTCTGGGTAAACATTCTTCTCCACTTGAATTCTTTAAAATACATTTAATGGTTTAAAAGCAAAAAATCTGAACATTGTCTTCTATTGTTTGCAACATATACAACATATTAGAGAATTATACCATCAAGGCAAAAGAACAAAAGAATCTATATGTGGAAAGATTTCTATATTCCACTTAAAGTGGTAAAAAGTAGATTCTGTGCAGGCTGTGAAAAGTTAAATGTATATTAGAATAATCCCTAGAAAAACTTTAAAAAATATATACAAAAATGTATAGTCAAAAACATAATAGATACATTAAAATGAAATAATAAGAAATGTTCAAATAACTTGAGAAAGCAGGAAAGAGGAAACAGTGGAACTGAAACAGAGAAAGCAAATGAAATACAAATGATGAAATGACAGACCTAAGTCCAAACATACCAATAATTACATTAAGTGTAAATTAAACTTACCAATTAAAAAAGAGATTATCAGAGGGTATAAAAAAATACCATAACCCAGGTATATGCTGTCCAAAAGAAACTCATTTCAAATATAATTATATAGGTTATGTTAAAAATAAAAAATGAAAAAATATATATCACATAAACCCTAATCAAAAGAAACCTGGAGTGGCTACATTAGACAAAACAGAATTCAGAGCAAAGAAAATTACTAAGACTAAAGAGGGACGCTGCATAATGATAAAAGGGTTAATTCATTAAGAAGACATAAATCCTAAATGTGTGTGCATCTAACAATAGAACTTAAAATACATGAAGCAAAAACTAACAAAACTGAAAGAAGAAATAGATAAACTCCCTGGCCGACATGGCAAAACCTCATCTCTGCTAAAAGTACAAAGATTAGCTGGGCATGGTGGCAGGTGCCTGTAATCCCAGCTACTCAGGAGGCTGAGACAGGAGAATTGCTTGAACCAGGGAGGTGGAGGTTGCAGTGAACCGAGATTGTGCCACTGCACTCCAGACTGAGTGACAGAGCGAGATTCCTTCTCAAAAGAAGAAAAGAAACATAAACTCATAATTATAGTTGGCAACTTCAACACTCCTCTTTCAGTAATAGAACTCACAGACAGAAAAGTAGCAAGGGTATAGGAAAAATAACATGTCAACAAAGTGGACCAAAAGAAATTCCCATTAGTAGGGGAATCCTTGAATAAACTGCAACAAATAGCATTTACAACCAAGGTTGCTACATACCACACAACTCTAGGGGTCCTTGCACATACACTTTTGAGTCATGTGGTACATAACCTCCTTAAGTGTATGCAGTGGTCCTGCCCACACTGTAGAATGTTATGCATCCTTTAGGAAACGTGAATAGTTAGTTCACTTGGAGGGGTTTTACCATTTTTGAAGAAAAAAGTAATATAGAGAAAAACATACATTATGTGATCTCATTTTTCTAAGACAGTAACAGATGCATATATGTGCATGTGTGTGTGTGTATTGGCATATGAATACTTGAGAATGTTGGTGAAGTGAAAGGATACATACAACATGGTTGGTAAGAAGGTAGAAGAAGGGAACAATATGGGTTGGGGAGGGGAGAGCAGTGGATAGAGACCCAAGCAAAATAAGGAAAGAAAAATAAAACCTCCATTTCAAAAAACATAACATTTGTGGACTTACATATGAGTACCTCTAAAAATAGTTTTTAAAGTAATATCAAATGTAAAAATTTATTCAGTTGCTTAAAACTTTTCAATGATTTCCTATTGCACTGTTAAATAAAATGCAAACCTTTTACCAAGACCTAAGTGATTTGGTCCTATCTACTTCTCCAGCCTTATGTGTCACTACTCTCCCCTCTCCAGGCAAGTCTCTTTCTGGACTAAAGGACTTTACAGTTGCAGTTTCTTCTACCTCAAATGCTTTTTGCCACTGGTCTTTGCATGACTGGCTCCCTCTCATCTGTGGCAGATTCTGTGATTTGCCTATCCAACAGTCACCCTCTCCTTCTTCCTTACCAATAGGATACTGATTTGAGTTGGGAGTGCATTATGTCCATTTAAAATACTTGATCTCCAGTCTCTCTTGTGGCTAGGAGTGATACAGTTCTGGCCAAAGGGATATTAAGTAGAAGTTACTGGCATGGCTTCTTGGGAAGCTTTCTTAAAAGAATCGAATGAATTGGCATCCTTTGTCTTCCCCTTCCTTTTCTGCATTTTTAAGCCATGAAAATGGTTGTAAAGGTAGAGCTGAGGTTCTCAAAGTGTGCTCCCCAGATGAGCCGTCTCAGCATCACCAGGGAACTTACACAGGCAAATTATGAGGCATCATCCCAAACTCACTGAATCAGAAACCCTGGGGATGGGGCCCAGCAATCTGTTTTTCAACAAGCCCTTCAGGTGATTTTTATACCTGCTGAAATTTGAAAGTCACTGGGCTAGCAGATAGAAGTTTCTTTTACTTTTCGTTCTTTCTTTCTTTCTTTGAGATGGAGTTTTGCTCTTGTTGCCCAGGCTGGAGTGCAATGGTGTGATCTCAGCTCACCACCACTTCTGCCTCCCGGGTTCAAGCAGTTCTCCTGCCTCAGCCTCCTGAGTAGCTAGGACTACAGGCATGTGCCACCACCCCTGGCTAATTTTGTATTTTTAGTAGAGACAGGGTTTCTCCATGTTGGTCAGGCTGGTCTCGGAACTCCTGATATCAGGTAATCTGCCCGCCTCAGCCTCCCAAAGTGCTGGGATTATAGGCATGAGCCACCTTACCCAGCCAGAAGTCTCTTTAGAGATGGGAAATAAGTTGGATGAAGTTAGTATACCTCTGACATCATGGAGCCACTGCACCAGACTTGGACTGCCTCCTCTGGAATTGCAGATATGTGGAAAACAATCCCTATTTGGTTAAGCTACTGTGGTTAGGTTTCTGTTACATGCAACTGAATGTAATTCTAATGTTAAATCATTTTTAAAATATCAGCTTAAACATGATCTCCTTAAAGAGGCCTTCCTTGACTGCTCTGCTTTCACCCTTCATCCCCAGAGTCCTTCTCTATCATTCCATCCTATTTGTTTCCTTTACAGCACTCATCATACCCTGAAATCTTTTCACTTACTTGCTGTGGTTTGTTTCTCCTTTAAGAATGTAAGCCTCACACCAGTAGAGTCTTTGTCTTTTCACTGCTGTGCTCCAGCACATTATTAAATAGATAATACACACTATCTGGCATGTAATGAATGCCCTGTAATTATTTACGGAATGATATAAAGAACTTTACAATTTTACATTCCACTTAAAATCATGCATTTTTAAAACGTTTTAATGAACAAAATGATTCATTGCAGATAATTTCATGATTTTCAGGAAAAAAATTAATTGAAAAAGTAACACATGTAAAAAGCATACAATATTTCTATGTCCTTTCTAGGTCCTCCATGCTTTCCTGTGAACATTTGCTACCATACTCATTAGCAGCCTATCAATTCTAAAAACTGTGAACAACTAATAAAATAGCTGTATAAATATTCAAAGCTGTACATAAATGAATTGCATGAATTCAGCCTGTCTTTGGCATCCTCATCTTTCCATCAGCATTAGTGGGAGACTTGTTTAATAATAAAACTTTACATTAAATTTAAACAAAAACATTCAAATAAAAGTAAAAATTTTGGTCAGTTTTCTTATGCATTCCACAAGACACATACAGTTAGTTTTAACCTTGGAGAAAAAAACATTCCTTCACCTATGTCCCTACTTTGCCTCTTCTAGTAATCTCAAGCTTGGTCCAAGACGAACGTCACCATCAGCAAAAAGTGCAGGAGGCAGAGTGGGGGCTTCTCACTAAGGAGAAAAGGAGTCCTAAGATTTTCCAAGACCATTTCCTCCTTCATGGAATTGGGAGAAATTAGGTTAGACAGTTTCTTGGGAGTTCCTTCCAAATACTTGGAGCTGTAAGAATTTCATGTCAGTGGCATCCCAAGTGCAAGCTTTTGAGAAGCTTCCAGAAGCCAACCTCAGCCCAACATGGAGGATTTTCTTTTTTTTTTTTTTTTTTTTTTTACCAGTGAAATAACATTTTATCCATAAGAGGCAATGAGCAATTTCCATCTGGAATTGTATCAGAACAAGCATCAAATGTACCAGCCTTAGTTTAGCAATGACAACATTCTTTAAAGCTGGGTTCTGCTTCATCTCAGTGCATCAGAATTATCTGGGGAGTTTGTTGAAAATAACTCAGGTTCTGTAGCTTTACTCTCACAGGTGCTGATTCAGTCTGTCTTGAGTAGGATCTAGTAATCTACATTTTCAACAAAGCTCTCCAGATGATTCTGACAGAGGTGGTATGAGTTCTAGAATTTGAGAAAAATTGGTCTTACGAGAAGAGGCCAAAATTGCTTCTTTCCCAGACTAAGACCTACTGCAGACAGTGACCTAAGACAGCCAGACTACCCAAAGGTCCTCCTCTGATGAGAAGGCGAAGTCTCTGGTGAGAAGTTCATCTAGACTCCTCCTCAAAGACTCACTCAGGGGTGCGAGTCTCCATAGTGCCCAATTCTGTAAGTGAATAAAAAATTGAGCCCAGCACTTGGCTGGACTTGAGAATAAACAGCAAAACCTCAAGGTACCAGAAAAGTTTTTGTTGGTACTAGAGGCCCATAGTATAATCTTTTACTTTGCTCTGCCTCCTTTTCACTGATATTGAACTAAGGAAGCCAAATAGACCCACACAGATAATATGTTGTTTGGGTATGGGTGAATGTAAACAGCTAAAGCAAATTCTGTCTGGGGAAATTCAGCAGAATTAATTCCAGTTTGATAAACAGCATCAATAACTGACTGTACATCAGTGTATGGCATCTGGATGGGAAATCCCGTGACCTGGATCAAAGACAGAACAGCACATAAACCCACATTACAACTGGGTAATCTGGAATTACTGTATACAAAAAGATCACAAAAGCCTCAAAGAAATAGGACTCATAAAATAGTATAATCGTTGTCTGTGGGTGCTGAATTATGTTCTGGGTACAGCTAAATGCTTCACATACGTATTTAATCTTTAAACAGCCCTATGAGGTAGGTATTGTTATAATCCTTACTGTACAGATAGAGAGGAGCACAACCAGGTCTGATTCCAAAGTCTGCACATTTAACATTCCACAAACTTTCTAGATAGCAAATTGCTGGTGAGAAAATTACTTGGTTCTACATATGAGGGATTTAAGTGAGAATTTTGGAACAACATAATCAACATCAAATTCAGTTTATGTTTACTAAGCGACTACTCTGTGATGGGATTAAAGGATTGTGGGGCATGGTCCCATGGAAAAATTACCTATTTAATAATACATAGGTGACAACCATAAACCTCTTTCACACTGTAATTGCTTAACTCAGGAGGATTTTCCTGATCCTTAAATCTGTTCACATGCCCTTCCCATGTGGTTGCTTAGCACGCTGTCCTTCCCTGAACTTACTTAATAAAATATATTGCAGTTACCTGTTTTCTGGTCACTCTCTCTAACCCATAATCTCTGCAGATGCACAAGATTTTATCTGTCTTGTGTACTATTATAACTCCAGTACCCAGCACAATGCCTGGCACATAGAAGAAAAAAAATAGCATATACTAAATACTTACTAGGTTTTGGGTGCCATAGTAAGTATTAGCTCACATAATCATCAAGACAATGACAAAATAACTTTTTTTATTCCTGTTTTCTAATGGAGTAGAGAGTGTAAAGAAAAACAAAACAAAAAATGCCTTGCTTCTTTTATCATATGAGGAAATAGCAAGAAGTTGTATTATATGTACAAGAGCCCTTTTTCTGCTAGCACTTTGATCTTGGAGTTCCCAGCCTCCAGAACCACGAGAAATAAATTTCTGTTGTTTATAAGCTTTAAAATAAAGCAAAGCAAAGCAAAAACAACTTCTTCCCCCCATTCATAAGTGAATAGTGCCTGTAGGTCTCTCCTGCCCACCTAAGTACTCAACTCCCAATAGATTCCTTACTTCTTCATCTCAGAGAGTTCCCTAGACTAGAAGCAGTCTACCTTCTAGTCTATTGCATGGTAAGAGGGAAGGAGTCTCACTCTTGGGAGACTGAGTTTTTAAGAAACCCACTGGGCCAGTTTATAGGGAAGAAGAGGTGAAAGGATACCCAGAGTTTGGGGTAGAGTAGGAGAAGGAAAGGAGGTCCCTAACAATATAGTAGATGCCCACCATGTTTGCTTATGGACTTGCTGAGTTTGAGATGTCTTTTTACCATCCAGGAAGATGTCAATGGCCTGGTAAATATATAAGAGTGTGGCGGGGTCAGAAGAAAGGTCCAGGCTGAATGTATAAATTTGGAAGTACAGTTGGTCCCTCATATCTGTGAGTTTCACATTTGAGGATTCAACCAACCACAAATTGAAAATATGCAGAAAAAAAATACAAAATAGGCTGGGCACAGTGGCTCATGCCTGTAATCCCAGCACTTCAAGACCAGTCTGGGCAATATTGTGAAACCCCATCTTTACAAAAAGATTTTAAAAATTAGCCAGGCATGGTGACAAGTAACTGTAGCCCCAGCTACTCAGGAGGCTGAAGCAAGAGAATTGCTTCAGCACAGGAATTTGAAGTTACAGTGAACTATGATCACACCACTATACTCCAGCCTGGGTGACAGAGCGAGACTTGGTCACAAAAAACAAAACAATAAAAAAATAATACAAATAGAAAACAATATAGCATAACTATAATTATTACTTATAATACCTAACTATTGTGTGAGGTATTATCAGTAATCTAGAGGTGACTTAAAGTATACAGGAGGATGTACATGGATTATATGCAAAGACTATGCCATTTTACATAAGGGACTTGAGCATCTCTGCATTGTGGTATTTGTGGGGATCCTGGGGACAAATCTCCTAATGATACCAAGGGACCACTGTAATTTGCATGTAGAAGATATTGAAGCTTCCCTGGAGTCCTCTTGCTCAGAACCAATAACAGGGAATTGACTCTATTATTAGAGATAATTTTTTAAAATTTCTTAGTTGCAGAGAGGTTTCCTTTTGGACATCTCTGCAAAATCTGTAGTTTATACATTGTAAAACATATAACTGGTTCCAAGTTAATGCCATGCAATATGGTACTAGTAGTAATTCTTCAATACATTTGAAGTTTCTTGGTTTCTAAGTAAACATATTTTTAAAATTTTTAATTTTTTGAGCACATAGTAAATATATAGTAGATATATATGTATATATATGGGGTACAGAGGATATTTTGATATGGACATGCAGTGATGCAATGCATAATAGTCACATCGTCGAAAATGGGCTATCCTTCCCCCCAAGCATTTATCCTTTGTGTTGTAAACAATTCAATTATACTCTTTTAGTTACTTTTAAATGTACAATTAAATTATGATTGACTATAGTTACCCTGTTGTGCTATCAAATACTAGGTCTTATTCATTGTTTCTAACTATTTTTTGTATCCATTACCCCTCCCCACCTCCCTCGGAACCCCCTACGCACCTTTCCAGCCTCTGGTAAGCTTTTACTCTCTAGCTCCATGAGTTCAATTGTTTTGACTTTTAGATCCCACAAATAAGTGAGAACACGTGATGCTTGTTTTTCTGTGCCTGTCTAATTTCACTTAAAGTAATGACCTCCAGTTCCACCCATGTTGATGCAAATGACACACTCTCATTCTTTCTATGGCTTAATAGTACTCAGTTGTGTATATCCACCACATTTTCCTTATCTGTTCATCTACTGATGAACACTTATCCTTATCTGTTCATCTCCTGATGGACACTTAGCTTGCTTGCAAATCTTGGCTGTTGTGAACAGTGTTGCAAAAAACATGGGAGTGCAGGCATGTCTTCAATACACTGATGTCCTTTCTTTTGGGCATATACCCAGCAGTGGGATTGCTGGGTCCTATGGTATGAGGAACCTCTAAATTAATTTTTTCAGGAACCTCCAAAATATTCTCCATGGTGGTTGTGCTAATTTGCATTCCCAACAACAGTATACGAAGGTTTCCTTTTCTCTACATCCTTTCTAGCATTTGTTGTCTGTCTTTTGAATAAAAGTCATTTTAATTGAGGTGAGATGATATTCCATTTAGTTTTGATTTGCATTTCTCTGATGATCAATGAGGTTGAGCACCTTTTTATATGCCTGTTTGTCATTTGTATGTCTTCTTTTGAGAAATGTCTATTCAAGTCTTTTGCCCATTTTAAAAATCAGATTATTATATTTTTTCCTTACAGTTGTTTGGGTCCCTCATATATTCTGGTTATTAATGCCATATCAGATTGGTAGTTGCAAATATTTTCTCTCAGTCTTTTCACTTTGTTGGTTGCTTCCTTGGCCATGCAGAAGGTTTTTAACTTGATGTCATCCCATTTGTCCATTTTTTATTTGGTTGCCTGTGCTTGTGGGGTATTACTCAAGAAATTTTTGCCCAGACCAATGTCCTGGAGGCTTTCCCCAATGTTTTCTTGTAGCAATTTCATAGTTTGAGGCCTTAGATAAACTCTTTAGTCCTGTGTGATTTGATTTTTATGTAAGGTGAGAGATGGGGGCCTACTTTCATTCTGCATATGAATATCCAGTTTTCCCAACATAATTTATTGTCTTTGTTGAAAATGAGTTCATTTAGGTGTGTGGATTTGTTTCTGGGTTGTCTATGCTGTTCCATTGATCTATGTGTCTATTTTTATGCCAGAACCATGCTGTTTTGATTACTGTAGCCCTATAGTATAATTTGGAGTCAGGTAATGTGATTCAGTTTTGTGTTTTTTTGTTCAGGATAGCTTTGACTATTCTGCATCTTTTGTGGTTCCATAAACATTTTAGGATTGGCTTTTCTATTTCTGTGAAGAATGTCATCAGTATTTTAATAGGGATTGCATTGAATCTGTAGATTGCTTTGGGTAGTTTGGACATTTTAACAATATTGATTCTTCAATAAGTATATTTTAATGCTATAGTATCTATCTTTCAGGATGAAGATAAAAGCATTTCAGAAATATTTGATTGCTATTATTTAGCAATTAACAACATATATAAAACAAATGCCATTAATGCATTAAATCATATACAAACCCAATAAAATTGTAGTATTCTTTCAAATTCATTATCTCCTTCAGATGAAACAAATCTTCCTATGCCAAGTTCCAGCTTAGGAAGGATCTGTCGCAAAATCAAAGTACATTGTCGATTCCAACGTGTTGGGTGTTTAGGTCGCCATTCCATCACTTTACTCTTCAGAGTCCTTTCGATCCTAAGAATGCAAAGCTAATTTTATGACAAGTTATAACTCGTTTAGTAAATGTAGTAAGAGCTTTGTAATTTCTATTCAACTATGAGAATGAATATTTAGACTTAGGAGGAAATCAGACCTCTATAGCTAGAGGTGTCTGCCACCATTCACATTAATGAAGGTGGGGAGAGGCAGGCTCTTACTGGGCTTGGGAAGGCAAGAAGTCTCTTGGGAATAGCCAGCGATTAACTCTCTAATTAACCCAGCAGCTGCCTACTGGGTGTGATTTGACAACACCTACCATCTGATTACTGGGTTGACATTCCTACTCTTCAAGACCCTCCCTTGACTTGGACATTGTTTCCAAGAAACTGCCTTTATGAAAATCCAGACATCTGGTCTGGGATGATGTTACCAGGCATGGGATTATTAGATGAGTTAATTTAGCAAGCAGAGTTGGGAGGAAACAAGGCATTGGACTGGTAAGTTTGGTGATCAGCTTCCCCCTACTTGAATGTAAGCTCCATAAGGAAAGTTTACCCATATATATCCAGCCCCTAAAACAGTGCCTGGGGATGAATATGCCAGGGAGGAAAGAGGGGGCACAGTATGGGTTGGTTGATGGGGCTCTCCTGAAAAGCCTCTCTGTACAGGATGATTTTGTGGCATTGATTCTCTAACTGCAGTGTATGTTATTTAAGAAGGTGCTGGAGGTCTCTTCTTAGCTGAGTTTATAGTGCAACTAAGTAGTTTGGAGTTTGTAGAGGGTCTCAACAGTGGCTGTGCATCAGAATCAACTGTAGGGCCTTATCACAATGTTTCAGCTCCAGATATTGATCCAGGGATGCTGACACCTGTATTTTTAAAAAGTTCTATCAGCGATTCTGATGAAAACCACTTGGGAACCATTTCCTTACTGCATTTCTTTCTTTTTTTCTTTAGAACTGAGAAATGAGGAGTAGGAATGACAGGGTGGGGGTTTGGAAGGAGATGTGTGCTATTGAGAAAGGGAGTGGCAAAACTGCCTTGGTCATGCTCTTTGTTGCTTTGTTGGTAGTGGCTTCCATGCCAGCCTGCTGTGTGAGCGTGAGCCACTGGAGGCAGTCAGATCTAGAAGCGTCTGACACACATGGCCTGAGAGTAGGTCCCGCTGCAAAGCCTGTGACCCTTTGGGCCTGACTCACTGATTTCCTCAGGCACTTATGTGTATGTGCTTGGGAGGCTGGGAGTGTCTAGTAGTGGCAGTACTGCTGTTTCTACTGCCTAACTGGGATGTTTTTACCAGACCTTGAGTCATGGGCCATTTACCTTCAAGTCCGTTCAAGAAGTGTTAGGTACTGCATTGCTATTACTATAGGCTCAACAGGCAGCTATGTTGAGAATTTCCAGTCATGACCCACAATGTTTCCAGAGTTAATTTAGTCTATCCCCGTCAAGGAATGCCCTGGATGGCAGAGGGGCCACTTTTCAATGCATGTACCAAGAGCCAGGTGATTCAATGGAACTGGTTTTTTTTTTGTTTTGTTTTTTGTTTTTGCCAAGGCCTTACTCTGTTGCCCAGGCTAAAATGCAGTGGTGTGTGGTGTGATCGTACCTCATTGCATCCTCAAACTCCTAGGCTCAAGCGATCCTCTCCCTCTCAGTTGCTGAGATTACAGGTATATGGCATCATGCCCAGCTAATTTTTTTTTTTTTTTTTAGTAGAGATGAGGTTTCCCTATGTTGCCCAGGCTGGTCTCCAACTCCTGGGCTCAAGTGATCCTCCCACCTTGGCTTCCCAAAGAACTGGGATTACAGGCATCAGCCACTGTGCCAGCTGGAATATTATAATCTCCCTTTCACACTTCTGTTGCTGAATCTAGCAGATATTTTGAAAGGCTGGATCAGAGGACTGAAAGGTTACCCAACAAGAGATAAGGGGAAAACACAGTACCTATTCCTCAGATCTTCTACCATGCTTTTATCAGTTTCAAAATAAATTATTTCTTCAGGCTAAAATAGACAACCAAAAGTTAGGAAAGATTCTAGAGACCACGTTTACATCAGTTACTCCTAGAGTGCCAACTATAATGAGGAGGAAGACAAGCCAGACTTCTCTGGCAAAAACACTCGACTCCGTAGGTAAAATGCAGACCACAGCATTTTCTTTGATTTTCACACTGCTTCACCACAGCAGGGGATGGGTTGTGCATTTACAAAAGATATTTTTTCATGGGTAAAACAGACCTGGCATCCCAATTCATTTTTCAAACAAGCATTTGACATTATATGGATTCTACCAAATAATCTTTAGCAGCTGCACTGGTATCTTCCACTGTGACCTTGGCAAAGTCTTCGCCTCTGTTCTGAGTCTTTAAGATAGGGATAATAATAGTGCCTACTGCTCTAGGGTCGTGTGAAGATTTTAAAATAAAGAAATGCATGTAAAGCCTGGAACATATGGAATGCTCAACAAACATCAGACATTATTATTATTATTATTTTTTTTTGAGATGGAGTCTCACTCTGTTGCGCAGGCTGGAGTACAGTGGCGTGATCTCGGCTCACTGCAACCTCCGCCTCCTTCTTCTGCCTCAGCCTCGCGAGTAGCTGGAACTACAGGCGCATGCTGCCACGCCTGGCTCATTTTTCGTATTTTAGTAGAGACGGGGTTTCACTGTGTTGCTTAGGCTGGTCTAAAATTCCTGAGCTCAGGCAATCTGCCTGCCTCTGCCTCCCAAAGTGCTGGGATTATAGGCATGAACCACCGTGCCCAGCCAACATTATTATTATTCTAATATGGTTGATCATCTTCCTTCTTTGATTATTTGTTTCTTTCAGCTGGAAGAAGCCAGTTCTTTGTGTGTGCACGTGCTCATGCACACACACACACACACACACAGACACACACACACACACACACACACACACACACACACACACACACACAAAATCCATTTCAACCTCCCCTGTCTCCAAGCCTTTGCCTGGAACAGTGCTATTCCACGTTTCTTCCAGTTCGCTTCCTGGGCAGGATTTGCTGGGAGGAGAGGAGGACTTCTCAAGTTCCTTCCCAACCCAACCTTCAACTCCTTGCAGGGCTCACATGGACAAGAGTGAGGGGCTGGGTTTAGACAGTTTTTACTTTGGGTATTCCTGAGCTGAGGAAGAGGCAGCTGTAGGGACAGGGACAGATGTTCCCCCCTCGTGAGTGGAGTGAGGGTTGTGTAAAAAGGAGGCAACATTTGATAGGCTTCTAGGTTCCCAAGTGTGGCCTCCAGACTGGCAGCCTCAGATCTGGGAACTTGTTGGAAACACAAATTCTTGGCCCTCGCCTGAGATCTACTGAATCAGAAACTGGGGAGGAGGCCTAGGTAACCCACATTTTAACAAGCTCCTCCCCACCCCCTGCTGGCTCTGATGTCTGCCATGGTGGAGAAGCACTGCATTAGACATGGTCCCAGGCCCAGGGAGGAGGCCCACAGTGCAGCATGGTGGGAGATGGGAGATACTGAGGAAGGGAAGGATGACTTCATGTCATTTTGCAGGAGCCAGCAGCTATCTCACATGGGACAGCTAGACAGAATTCCCTGATTAATGTCACCAATGGCTGTCTACCCCACACTGGGCAACTCCTCTGGATTAGTTAGGCCACCTTCAGGCCTGAAAAAGAGGCCTGGTTTATGCTGACTTGAGAAGTTTATGGTGTGTTTGTCCTTTCCTTTTCTGGCAAAGAAAGAGGCCTCTTTCTTTCTAGGAACTCATATCCTTTAAAACTCCAAGGGGATTTCCCTGTTAACACCACTTCTGAGTACCCACATTCTCCTCACAAACATTCAAATTTGTGTTCACTATTGTGTGTAATAGAGTTCACTCTAGATAGTGGTTTATTCTGGGATGTATGTAGAAAGGCAGCAGGCCAGGTGTGGTGGCTCATGCCTATAATCCCGGCACTTTGGGAGGCTGAGGCGGGTGGATCACGAGGTCAAGAGATTGAGACCATCCTGGTCAACATGGTAAAACCCTGTCTCTACTAAAAAAACACAAAAATTAGCTGGCATGGTGGCACGTGCCTGTAGTCCCAGCTACTCGGGAGGCTGAGGCAGGAGAATTGCTTGAACCTAGGAGGCGGAGGTTGCAGTGAGCCGAGATCGCACCATTGCACTCCAGCCTGGGTAACAAGAGCAAAACTCTGTTTCAAAAAAAAAGAAAAGCAGCAGATGGAAGGCCATGAACCCACAGGAAAGAAGCCAATAGAGATACAAGTTAAACACAACTATGAGTTTTATATTTATAGATTCAACTTGGCAGAAGGCTTTAGTTTCAGCCCTAAGTCAGAGTGGCTTTTACAAACACAATTTTGATCACAGCTGCCCTTGCCTTGGAGATGCTGGCTTCTGACTGCCCTGAGGACAAAGGCCCCAAACTCTCACCAGGACTCTTCACCCCAGCATTGGCCAGCCTGGCCTTTCAGCTCCTGGACAGATATCTCCTTGCTACTACAGATCTTCTGTTCGCTATTCCTGCTATCTGCCGGGACCATTCTCATTCCTGACTTTTATCTAGGCCAGCTTCTGCTCACCCTTCCTCACTCATGCTTCTCATCACTCTTTCCCAGGAAGCCCCTACAACTCCCCCATCCCTCAGGGTCTCCTGCTGCGTGCTCCCCAAAGCACCATTATATGTTCTGTAAGAGCATTCATCACTCTATACTGCACCTGCATGTTCCCTTCTGTTTCTCCCTCTAGAATACAAGTACCAAGAACACTGAGACATCTCTTTCCTTGTAGTATCTACACCTAACATTACACTGGCTCATAGCAGGAAATCAATAAATATCACCTGAATGGACAGGAGAATGAATATGCATTAAAGAAACAAGAACCTTGTCTCAAAATAAATTATTCTCCCCCTAAGAGGCGGCAATGCTTTGGTCACAGCTTTGGGATGGGCAAAGCAAGGAATGGGCTGTACATGCTTTAAATGTGGATGGCTCAAGAGAGATAAGCACATTTCCCCTTCTTTAAAATGACCTTTCAAACAGGAAATATAAAAATACCTATATATGCTTGCATCTGCATGGAGAATGTTAGAAGGATGCATGAGAAACTTCTGACAGTAGTGACTTCTTTGAGAGTGGGAAGGAGATGTTGAAGGAGAAAGAAACCCATTACTTTTTTTTTTGGAATCCCAGACTGAAGTGTAGTGACACAATCACCCAGACTGGGGTACAGTGGTGTGATTTCAGCTCATTGTAACCTTTGCCTCCCAGGCTCAAGTGATTCTCCTGCCTCAGCCTCCCGAATAGCTGGCATTGCAGGTGTGCGCCACCAAACAGCTAATTTTTTTTTTTTTTTTTGTATTTTCAGTAGAGATGGGATTTTACCATGTTGGCGAGGCTGGTCTTGAACTCCAGACCTCAAGTGATCTCTCTGCCTCACCTCCCAAAGTGCTGGTTTTTACAAGTGTGAGCCACTGCACCCAGCCAGAAACCCATCATTTTATACACTTGGGCCCTGTTTGATTCTTCCCCCACAGCCACCATACATTCTTTTTGATAGTGTGAATTGCCTCGAATATACAGGCAAACATAGAGAATAATGTAATGAGCATCCACCTAGCATACCTACCGCCTAGCTACATCTGATCTTTGCATTCTTCCATCTTTGTTTTAGACTTAAAAAAAATAAGATACTACAAACAGACTTGAATACTTTGTATTCAAGTATACTCTGTATACTGCTCCTTGATCTCATTCCTTTTTTCTCTCCCCAAAAGTGACCTCTAATCTGAATCATTCCTGTGAATGCTTTTCTACAACACCACATGTCTATATATACATAAATAATATATAGCTTTCAAACTCCACATAAATGGTTTTGTACTGTATGTGTCACTTCATATCTTTTTATTTTGCTCAGCATTACATTTTTTATATTCTTTCATGTAGATATCCCTGACTCTAGGCCAGTGATTTTCAACCTTGACGGCACATTGGAATCAACTAGGGAGCCTTCAAAACTACTGGCATGTGGGTTCCATCCTCAGAGATTCTGATGTAATGCATGGACAGTCAAATTGGGAACAACTGTAAATTGACTCAGTTGGTTCCTCTTTTATTGCTGTATAGAAGATTTCATTGTATAAGTACTTCACAACTCAGGTACTGATTTCCAGTTGATGAACCATTTCAAATTTTTGTTATTTCAAGCAATACTATAATGAAAGTTGTTGTATTTGTCTCCCTGTGAATGTTCCTCTGGGCTATATACTGAGAAGTTTGAATTGGCAGATCAAAGGTTGAGCATCTTCAACTTTACCAGGTATTATCACCATATTGTTTTCCAAAGCATTTACAGCAATGTAGGCTGCCGCCACTTCTCTGCCTCTTTGCCAACACTTGGTACGATCACACTTTTTTTTTTGCCAATTTTATGCATGTGAAATAGTTTTATTGTTTTACTTATTTATTTATCTTAGAGACAAGGTTTTGCACTAGGCTCCTAGGCTGGAGTGCAGTGGTGCAATCATAGCTCACTGTAACCTCAACTTCCTGGGTTTAAACAGTCATCTCACCTAAGCCTCCTAAGTAGCTGGGACTACACATGCGCATCATCACCATGCCTGGCTAATTCTTTTGTTTTTATTTTTAGAGACAGGGTTTTGCTATGCTGTCCAGGCTAGTCTCGAACTCCTGGCCTCAAGTGATCCTCATGGCTTGATTCCCCCCAACTGTTCGGATTACAGGCATAAGCCACCATATCCAGTGATGGTTTCCTTGTTTTAAATTGTATTTCCTTGATTATGAGTGAGGTTTAGCACTTAAACTACTGCTTCTATGAATTGTCTTTTGCCTAATTTTTCTATTGTTCTTTTTCTCTCTCTTATCCTCTCTCCCTCCCTCTGGGCTCCTGTCTCCTCATTTGTGGACTTTGCAATTGCCTACACCCTGCCACAGCTTGGCCCTCAATCCAGAAACAGGTGTTGACATGGTATTTCTAGTGCCTTCTCAAAGTAATACTGAGCATGTCACAGATCCATTGGCCAAGCTATGTAATGACTGGGTTACTTCTTGGTCTCCTGCCTCCTGAGCCCCAAGCAGTGAGTCTACAGCTTTTCTTCTCATCTTCTTTCAAAAACAAGGGAGTAAAAGTAGCCCCACCATAGTGCCTGTCTTTAAAAAGTAATGCTTGCTCTGGTTCTCTAGCTTTCGTGAAGCATTTTCAGACCTTGCTCCGCCATCCCTGCTCCAGCTTACTCACTGCTAGTGTTTCTGTCCTTCTATTCCATGAGATAACTATCATGGTTGGGAGCCCCAGAAAGCTTTTTGTTTGCCAAGTTTTATACTTGATCATCACCATGGATATGGTGCAGGAGGGCTAGGTCAGAGTGAGAACTTACTATACATCTTGAACACTATATGCTACATTTTATGATGAAAATTTTTTAAATTCTATTTTGGCATCTAAATTTACATTTGAGATGTCACTTTCTTCTCAATTTATTTTTTCGGCAAGTAGGGGAAAGGGGCCATGAGCTGGATGGCAGAGAAAACTAGTTTTTGATTAATATTGCCAAATATTTCAGTAAGCAATCAACTATAAAACATAACAAGAGCTGTCACAACTAGTAAAGATTAGAATGAGTGGCAACTCTCATACAGACACACATGGAAAAATACGATTTACCTGTATGCTTTGTACTTTTGTCCCTTGAACATTTTTTGGAAGCAATGGCTTCCAGAAACTTTCCTTTGAGTAATCAAAAAATACAGCCATTGGTGTATTACTTTGTTGAATATTAAACCAGACCTATGAAAACATTAACATAAAATTAGTGTAGGTCCATGGGAACACAAGGCCCATCATTGGTAAGGAAGGAGCAAAATTTTACAGTCTTACTACTCAATGAAGTGGCTGAATCCCAGGGGAGGTCTGAGGCAGGAGATAAAGAGATTCTAGGGTTTCATGATCATTAGACTACCTCATTGGTTCTCATCCTTGAAGGCACTACACAATCACCTGGAGAAGCTTTAGGGATAAAAGATTGCCCCGGCCCCATGCCCTAGAGAATCTGATAGAATATCTATATGTAAAGTTCCCCAGGTGATTTTAGGGTGAAGGCAGAGTGACTTTTGAGGAGATAACTCAAGACCTCTTTTCCCCATGTACTTACATTTCTATCATCAAACAAACAATCTACACTTTTTAAGGGACAAAATGGGTCAAACTGCTTATAACATTGGCCAGTTGATGGATTCCAAAGCAAATATTCATTAGTTTCTTGAGTTAATACGTAAGCCACATGTCCCTGTATGAGAAAAAAGAAAGTAATTTTTGGTGGATTTAAGTTATTTCTGTATATGGAAATTATATACTCTGATGATTCTGATTTCTAAAGCCTTTTTTAGCTGAGTGTGGTGGTTTATGCCTGTAATCCCGGATCTTTGGGAGGCTGAGGTAGGAAGATTGCTTGAGCACAGGAGTTTGAGATTGGCCTGGGCAACATAAGGAGACCCTGTATCTACCACACACACACAAAAAAAATTAAAAATTTGCTGGGCACAGCGGTACACACCTGTAGTCCTAGCTACTTGGGAGGCTGAGGTGAGAGGATCACTTGAGCCTGAGAATTGAGGCTGCAATGAGCTGTGATAATGCCACTGGCCCATAGCCTGGGTGACAGAGTGAGATCCTGTCTCAACAACAAACAAACAACAAAAATAGATAAAAGCTTTTTTGAGGGCTTTTAAATTTTCTTTGAAAACAAACAAACAAAAAAACCCCCAAAGCTCCAGAAATCCTCAGCCCCAGGTTAGCATGAGGATTCAGATGAAAGAACTTGTGAGCCAGTGCTGCCATGCATGGTTCTGCAGAGTGTGCCCTGATGGCAACACAGCTGTTGTTTTAACAAATCAGTGTATTACAAGGATTTCCCAATAGACAGTAAGTACTACAGTGTTTTGAGGTAGGGGCACTTTTGTCTAATCCACACAAGGTGCTACGTGAACTATCCCTGCTTTGATCAGAATATACTTGGAGACTGAGGGTGAACACCAGGCAGAGATAGGAAATGGAAACTGGCTTAAGGCTCTGACAAAACCAAGTAAAGTTAAAAAGCCATTAAATTAGATTTGGGAACAAGATTTAGAATTAGAAGCTAAAGGGAAAGTATGCAGGAAATCAGAGGAATAAAAAGTAGTTATTACGTTGTTATTATTTTACTCTGAATGATAAGACCTTTTGTAGTGTAAGCCTGGCCTAGCAAATAATAAAACAATTTAGGTAATAATAATGAGACTGCTGGGCGTGGTGGCTCATGCCTGTAATCCCAGCACTTTGGAAGGCCAAGGCAGGTGGATCACAAGGTCAGCAATTCAAGACCAGCCTGGCCAAGATGGTGAAACCCCATCTCTATTAAAAATACAAAAATTAGCCAGGCATGGTGGTGGTCACCTATAATCCCAGCTACTCGGGAGGCTGAGGCAGATAATTGCTTGAACCCAGGAGGCAGAGTTTCCAGTGAGCTGAGATCGCACCACTGCATTCCAGCCTGGGCAACAGAGCAAGACTCTGTGTCTCAATAATCATAATCATAATAATACTATTTAACATTTATTGAGTATCTATGTGCACCAGATACTATGCTAAGAATTAACACTAACTTTCTCACTTTCATTCATTCCAAATTCTGGGAGGAAGGGGTGATTATTATGCCCATCTTTCAGATAAAGAATCAGAGGTTAAGGAGCTTGTCAAAAGAGTCCATGAATGGCATTATTCCTGCTTCATGAAGAGGTAACTGAGGCTCAGAGAAGTAAACAAGGCTGAGATCATATAGATAGTGGCATTGCTGGGTTTTTTTTGTCTGTGTACGTGGCAGGGTCTCATTCTGTTGCCCAGGTTGGAGTGCAATGGTGCTATTATAGCTCAGTGCAGCCTCAACCTCCTGGGCTCAAGAGATCCTACCTCCTCAGTCTTCTAAGTATGTGGGACCACAGGTATGTGCCACTATGCCTGGCTTGCTTATTTATTTATTTATTTATTTATTGTAGAGGTTGGGGGTCTTCCTATGTAGTCCAGGCTGGTCTTGAACTCCTGAGCTCAAGCAATCCTCCTTCCTCAGCCTCCCAAAGTGCTGGGATTATAGGCATGAGCCACCATGCTCAGCAATCGCTGGGTTTTAAACCTGTGTCTGACTGTCCCCCAAACCCATATTCTTAACACTACACTGTGCAGTCTGCTGTCCTTTACTCCACAGCCCTTGCTCTTGGTCTCTGTGCTCATTGTCTTTATAGTAAAGAGGAGGCTTTACCTTAACCACATGGGTGAGTTGAAACTGTGCAGGGCTACCTCTGGCAGTGCTGGGCCACAGGTACTAACCCAAATAGTTGCCAAAATATTATTGACTGTTTACTGCCATCTACTGGCACTTAAAAATACGGCAGGAGATCATATAGAGGGAATGAACCATAGGCTTTTATTAATAGCTAAGAAACTTGGCAATGAAACAATAAGTGATGCCAAGAAAATACAGGGAAATAAATCATCATGACAAGAACCATAACGCAAGACTGCAAATATTGTCACTTAGCAAGACACTCATGGTAGGGCTAGAAACAATTCAAAAAGAATAGCTTTCTGATGGTACAAATGTAGAAGCATATAAGTTAAGCTGTAAACATTTCAGATAGGGAAACATGAATTCCTGACTCACTTCTTATAAGATTAAAACCTCAGCAGTGAAGTATGAGGAAAATCATTTTTTTACAGACCCTAAAATACACTTATTAGAAACATGATGGGCCAGGCACGGTGGCTCACACCTGTAATCCCAGCACTTTCGGAGACCAAGGAGGGAGGATCACCTGAGGTCAGGAGTTCAAGACCAACTGGCCAACATGATGAAACGCTGACTCTACCAAAAATACAAAAAATTAGCTGGGCTTGCTGGCGGGCACCTGTAATCCCAGCTATTCAGGAAGCCGAGGCAGAAGAACCACTTGAACCCAGGAGGTGGAGGTTGCAGTGAGCTCAGATTATGCAACTGCACTCCAGCCTGGGCAACAAGAGTGAAACTCCATCTCAAAAAAAAAAAAAAAAAGAAACACATAATGATTATGGTGTTAAAGATAGATAACAGCCACCACAACTGTATTATAACTATTACTACTATAACTATTGCTACATCACCACCACTGCCACCACCTTTATTCAGTCCAGGTGCTGCTTTCAGTGCCTTAATATGTACTAAGTTATGTAATATTCCAAGTAACCCTATGACATAGCACTATTTTTAGTACTCTTTTACAAGGAGAAAAGCAAAAGGAAATCACTATTTACATTGCAGAAATTTTGATGAACCAACATTATCCTCTTAACTAATCATTGCTTGCCCATGAAATTCCAAATTAGTTTGTGAAGACATGGAAACCTGGGTTTGAAGTCCTCTAAACTTGCCACTGAAATCTGATTTCCTTTTGCTTACATTATTTCAATATGAACTCCAGCACTTACTTCTAACCCTGAGGTTCCCAAGAGGACCAGTGCCTTCTTTCCAAAATACAGAAAGAAATTACAGAGAAGGATGGCATGCTCCTCCTTATTTCCAATAGCCAAACTGATGCAGCGCTAAGGCAAAGCAAAAGCAATAGGAATGAAAAAAGAAAGAAAAAGGACGGGAAAGTTGAATAATACAAGCATCCAACTGGTACAGAGCACCTCTACTCACTCCAGTTCCAAACACACTTATTTTTACCAAGTTGCTAAGATGACAGCAGAGCAGACAGCTCTGGCTTTGCTAGGGCATTAGAAGAGAACATTGACTTGGAGCATTGGGGCCACCTTTATTATGGGACACTTAATATAGATATTGTATAGAGTGACCAATTTATATCCAAAATGTTTTGGTTTAGGAGAAATATTAAAGTGCCCTTGGCAAGAAGGGACATATGGACTGGTATTTTGAGGAACCGTATTTGAAAGAGAATCATATAGTGTTTGTAGGAAGTGATTCTTTGGGCTGTGGAGCTACATCCTGTCTTGTACCAATATAGTACTCTCAACTCAGAGAAAGGAAGAGATCTGAGCTGGATCTTAAACAGGAAGAGTGACTGAAACTTCTTCAACTGAAAGAGCTGAACAGCTGAGCAGGGTGTAGCAGATCAAATAGAGATTATCCAATAAAGCACAGCAATATGGCCGGAGAGAAAAAGTATAGCAGAAGTGGAGGACTGGTGGTCTGTGACCTAGTTCTAGTGTACAGGGTATGTTTTTTTTTTTTTTTTTTTGGCTCCCAGAATGTAAAAAAAAAAAAAAAAAAGAGAGGAAATTTTCGTATAAAACTCTGGCTTCTGTTGAAAAATAAAAAAACCTCTAGCAAAGACTTGGGTCCAAATGTTCAGATGGCAACCGTTTCTTGCTGACTAGTGGCTACACCATTTAAATGGGACATGTGCTCTCTAGTTCAATACAGTCTGAGAGAAGGGGCTGTGGGGGCCAGGGAGGTAGGGGTAAGGGTTAGGGAGCTAGAGAGCTCATGGCAGTGACTATTTGCCAATCAATATGGAAGCATTGCAATGTTTTTAACAACTGATATGGCCCTATCAGTGTGCATTGGCTAAGCGTGATGGTGAAGGATGGGGGTTAGGGAGGATAGTTAAGGAGGCCCTTCTGAAAGAACAGTGTGACTAGGTGAGCTAAGGGCAGAACATGAGATGAGGAGGGAGATGATGATAGTTGGAAACTAAGTTTTCCTGAGGTCCAGATGCTTTGCATGTTACTACATTTAGTCTTTTTGAAACTCCTGTATAACATAATGAGGAAATTGAGGTCCAAAAAGGTTAATTAACTTATTTTTGGTCACATATCTATTAAGTCTTTGATTTTTTGTTTGTTCATTTTACTCCAAAGACTGTGTGTTAGGTGAGAGAAAATAACTCTTTTCTTGTGAAATCGAATCAGTCGTATACTCATAGACATCCTGTGTCTGAACAGTTTGTGTCAATGAGAAGACATGAGGAATCCCAAGCCTGCAGTAACTGCTTAGCTATGTGCATTGTTTGGATTGTGGAGGACGCAGGGGAGCTAGTATTTTCTTGGATGGTTATTTTTAGCTCAGCCTCTTTCAATGTTCCACAGGATCATAATACCCCTGAATACAATTGGGATGTACACACATGGGTATGGGCGTGCAGTCCACATATTAGTAACGAAATATAATTTAAGCTGAAATGGAAGAAATGCTGTACTTAGGGTTGCCAGACTTAGAAAAGAATTTATAGGATGCCCAGTTAGATTTGAATTTCAGATAAACAACAAATCATTTCTTATTATAAGTTTGTCCTGAATATTGCATGGGCCCTGTATTTTATTTGGCAATCAGACTTTAATCCAAGTGCCAAGGAAGAACACTGCTGTATGAGCTCAACACTCAGATGGGGGTGATGGGGGAAAGCTTTGGGGAAGTGACAGCACTTGCACAAGACTTCAGGGTCTGACCAACTCCATAGTGACAGTCATATTGCTCTCTGGAGGATGGCATAATATTATACTCCTGGAATTCCCATTGAGTCAAAATATTTATGAGCTACCACTTAGAATCTTGAAAAGATTTTTGGACTTTATGAATTATTTCCATAGACTGTTATAAAGCTGAAGATGATGTATAAAATTATCAAATACTTTAAAATTTCACAAGGCAAAGTAATACAGAAATATATATTTTTAAAAGGCTTCCTTAAAAGAAATACTATACAATTTAATTATAAAATGTAATTTATTACCTCCGATGTCATCCATATATCAGAACCATCATTTTCATCTGGTGTATTAGGCATAAAAGGAATCAAAGATACAAATCGAGCAATGAGGTCCTAGAATAATATTAACATCTATTGAGTGTATACTGCATGTCCATCCCTGAGCACAATGCTTTACATGCATTATCTCGGTTAGCATATACTCTAAGCCTTTAAAAGCAGACACTATTGTTATTCTAGTATTACAAAAGAGGAAAGAAGCTTGGAGCAATAAAATAACTTGCCCTGGGTTCCATGGCTAATACAATATGTGAAGTCTCTGGGAAACTGAGCCCAAGTTGGCCTGACTGCACAGGGTGAATGTAACCATTATATTTTATTGTAATAAATTACTAATATTTTAAATATTGTAATAATAAGTATCCATATTAAACACGTACTTTAAAGTACAACTGTTAAAAATTTTTAAGATCTTAAAGCACAGCAAAGGTTTTATTGTTTTTTGGTTCAAAATCTATCAGAATTATTTTTGTGAATATAACTTTATAATAAGCTGCTACGGCCAGGAGATTAATTAGAGTAGTACAGTGTGCTTTCTCAAACAATAGAAATTATACTATGGATTTTTCCCCTATAGTGCTGGAGACAAAGATTCAGACTAATCTAGGAAAAGAGAAAGGGTGCAAAACAACGAGTTAACATAGGAGGTTCATTAACATTTTAACTGATGTTCAGTTGCTGCCATTTATGCACTATTATGACCCTCTGCACTGGTGACTTCATGCAATTAATAAACAAGTCTCACAATCCTTGACAAGCAAAAGAGCTATGATTTGTATAAATTTTTTAAAAGATAAAGATAGTCGTTGTAAAAGATCTGAGAGGACTGTTGCCTCCTTGGATCCTGGATGTCAGAACACACAGGCAAGAAGAAAACCCATGATGGAAAAGCAGTATAGCAAAAGCCAATCTAAATTAGAACTTTTGATTTTAGCTTAAAGCGTTCAGCTAAGGGAGCTTGGTAACTCACAAATAATACAAATATTCTGAGGACAAACAATGCACTAGATTGAAACCAAATACACAAAAGGTAAAAGTGATTCTTCACAGATGCTCTTCAATCATAATGAAGCTGTTAAAAATAATTATAACTTACAAGTGTTGCATTAGAATTGTGAAGAAACATATCCAGAAGTTGCTGAGGTGGATTTAATGCCTTGATATATCTTGTGACTAAGAACTGTATCCCTTCATCATTAAAAACAGTAGTTATGATTCTTCGGTTGGGAAAGATTGCCTTACAATTCTTTTTAAAAATCTGTGCTCTCTGCAAGACCTCTGCTTGATCTAAAAACTAGAATCAAATTTAAAGTATTTCAACATTGTGCTATATTGTTCCCACAGGAAATATCAAGAACCAATGTTTATGTTTGCTAGCTTTGAAATTATTATTACTGGTTTTTAAAGTACTTCATACTTCTTTGATGGTATATATAAAAGAAATTCAATGTAAAACCTACCTTATCTAGTGTTGGATTATAGGTGACATATGATATTTGAGGTTCAATGGTAGCAAAAATATTTAAGAATATACATTCTTTTAAATTCTGTTCATTGGAATCTTCTCTAGGAAATACATAAGTATTACTCCAAGTATATCCAAGCAAAACTGGTGGAATAGTTACTTGAAATGTTCCACTAATCTGAAACAGCATATCAGTATAACGGATTATTCATGATGAAAATAAACATCAGTCAAACATTATAGCCCAGCAGAGTCCTCTCCATCACAGAAAGCATGCTTACTTGCATGCAGTGACTTCTAGTCATTTGTACTTGCCCAGGAATGGGCAGGTCCTCTGCGGTGATGTGTTCATAGGCACCCTTGACACCTTAGGACCCTGCCTAATATATACTATGTAGAGAGGGTAGGAGTAAGTAAGGAATGAAACAAAGAAGCAACTTACTATACCAGTGATAAAGCTCTTAGAAAATCCAATTCAGGCCCAGAGAAGAAGCTAAAAGATCATGTTACATTTTGTATTGGGTCTAGAAAGAGAACATACATAACAGCAAAAAAGACAACCCTGAGGTCCACATAGGAGGAATTGTGTGTGTATGTGTGTGTGCGTATGCATGTGTGTGTGTGTCTGTGTATGTGTGTGTGTAGGGAAGAGGTAAATTATAATAATAAAAAACATTAGCTGGGAGTGGTGGTGCATATCTGTGATCCCAGCTACTTAAGTGGTTGAGGTAGGAGGATCACTTGGGCTCAGGAGGTTGAGGCTGCAATAAGTCATGATTGTGCCACTGCATTCCAGCCTGGGTAACACAGTGAGACGCTGTCTCCAAAAAACATGATAACTAATAGTTACTGAGTGCTTACCATGTGCAAAACCCTGTGCCAAGTGCTTGATGTAGATTGCATCATTCAATGGAGCAGACACTGCCCTTATCTCCATTTCACAAATAAGGAAACTGAGGGTCAGAGAATTGAAGTATTTATGCAAGACCACGAAACTAGTAAGCAGTGGAACCAGGATTACAGATGTGTCCACCTTTGAAGCTCACACTCTTAACCACCTCTGTATCCTGTAGTCTGGCCTGAGACTGAGCAATGTCCGCAGGGAGTTATAAACATAGGAAGCCCTGCAGCTGTACCTCCAACAATGTATATTCCTATTACTGTTCTTTGCAACACGCAACATCATGACTTGATGTGACTGCACGCTGTGCAGGTACCTCTACTCTCCTACCTGATATTCCCTTTCCTACTTTCTTACCAATAGCTTTAGTTGGTAACATGACAGCCAGATAGTAGGAACAGAAACTTCATTAACACTTTAATTGGTATACAATGGCAGCCATTTATGTACTATTGTGAGACTCTACAGTGGTAACTTCCTGTAATTAATAAACAAGGCTCACAATCCTTGACAAGCAAAGGAGCTAGTATTTGTATATATTTTTTAAAAGATTGTCTCTGAAATAAATCTGAGAGCACTGTTTTCTCCTTGGAAATTGGGTGTCAGGACACATAGGCAGGAAGAAACCCAGGATGGAAAAGCAATGTAGCAAAAGGTCATCTAATTTAACCCCTTATTTGCTTGACAAATTTGTCAAGCCCTTGTTTGCTTGACAAATTCATCTTTAAGGACTTAATTCAAAAGTTATCACCTAGGTAAAGTCTTCTTTGATCTTTCATTTTCCTCCTTAGTCTCCTCTTATCTACCAAACTCTCTGAACTACTCCCCCTGCATTTCCACCTGCAACCCAGGGAGAGTAAAGTACCCCCTACTGTATGTTCCCATGTACCGATCTCATGCCTCCATTAAAGCACTACAGCATTATCACATTGTACTGAAATGTTAGTTTTATTTCATAGACAGTGAACTCATTGAGGTAAAAAATTCATTTCTGAATTTTCACTTTCTGGTGTCTGGCATGGCGTCACAGATGTCAAGTGCCTTACCTAACATCACTTAGTGAAGAAGTAACAGTGGAGTCTGGGCTGGTGCTTATCTACTTTGCTAGTCATGTAGGCATTCTCCTGCTACACAATAACCCAACAGCAGAGCCCTCTGAGGGTCTCACAGAGACCAGGTGCAAATCATATGTCTTACCATTATCAATAAACAATGCTGACAAGCTGAAACTCCAGGGACCCTGCAACACCATTTATCAGAATGTTTTATGAATCTGATCTTATAGAACTCTTACATGCAAATATAAATATTGCTTTAAGATCTAAGACTAGCTGTCCTATTCTTTGTTAGTGAATGTTGTAAAGATATAAGAAATAAATTTGTGGGTATCCTCTGTTCTAGAGACAGTTCAAATACTTCAAAAGTCCAGAACATTCTAATACAGGATCATTTTAACTGACCTACCAGCCTGCCAATCACAGAGTCTGATTCAAAGACAACAGAAAGTGTTACTATTAGCCAGAGGTCAAAAGTTAGAATAATTAGCAAATAACCATTTTCTCTTACCTCAGATTGTTGCAGAAGAGCAGAAAAAGGGAAGACAATGGATCCAAGCCAATTCTTTCTTATATATGAGTGAACACTACAGCTCTTGAGACAATGATCCTAGGAAGATAAATAATTTTTATTACCTACTTAATATCATGTGATGAATAGTTTTACAAACTCATAAGTAAATATAAAAAGTCATTCTCTTTCTTTTAAAAAAGAAACAAAAGGTAAATAGAAAAGATATGTTTTTCTTGGTTTTACATTTCTTTAAAAGACAACTGCTTAAAGCAAAAAATAATAGTCTGGGAGAAAATTATCTGTTGTAGAGTTTATGACTTGTGTAAAGTAGAATGTATGACAATACTAGCACAATGCAAGGAGGGGGAAATGGAGGCATTATATTATAGGATCCTGCTCTTACACTGTATGTGAAGTGCTACTATATTATGTACAGATAGTTTGTAGTAATTTAAAGAGTATATTGTAAACCCGAGAGCAACAGTTAGGAAAACAAACAAGTATAGCTAATAAGCCAATAGTGGAGATAAGATGAAATCATAAAGTATTCCATCAATCCAAAAGAAGGCAGGAAAAAACAATAAAGAATAGTTGGGATAAGCAGAAGATAAATGGGAAGATGGTACCCAGCCAGGTTAACAATTATACAAAATGTAAACGGCCGTACATTCAAAGGCAGAGATTGTCAGAGTGGAAAAAAAAAAGCAAGACTCAACTGTGTTGTCTAGAGTAAACCCATTTTTAATATAAAGACACAGCTTAAAAGAAAATAAAGATATACAAAAACTAATTAAAAGAAAGCTGAGCGACTATAACAGCAAAAAAGCATATTTAAAAATAAGAAATATAATGAGGAATAGAATTTATACTGATACAGAAATCAATTTATCAAAAAAATATGCCTATAAACATGTATGGACCTAGAAACAGAGTTGCAAAATACAGAGCTAAAAAATATGACATCAAAAGCAAGTTGATAAATTTGACTTCATCAAAATTAAAAACCTTGCTCTTCAAAAGACACTGTTGAGAAAATTAAAAGATAAGCTATATACTGGGAGAAAATATCTGCAAATCATGTATCTGACAAAGGACTTGAATACAAAGGACCCCAAAATTCAATAATAAGAAAATAACCCAATTTTAAAAATAGACAAAAGACTTGAACAGACACCTCACCAAAGAAGACATATAAATGGCAAATAAATATTTACATGGAAGGGTACTCAACACCATTCATTATTCATTAGGAAATACAAATTAAAACTACAATGAGAAACCACCACACACTTATTAGAATGACTAAAGTTTAAAGTTTGACAAAGTATAAGAAAGTGAAAGAACTGGAAGTCCCCTACATTACTGATGGGCATAAAAAGTGGTACAATCACTTTAGAAAACGGTTTAGTAGTTTCTTAAATATCCATTTACCATAATATCCAGCTATTTCTATTTACTAAGAGAAATGAAAGCATTTGTCTATAAAAAGACTTTACACAAATATTCATAGCAGCTTTATTTATAATAGTCAAAAAGTGCAAACAACCTAAATGCCCATCAACAGGTGAATATATAAACAAGCAATGAAATGCAGGTTTATCAATGGAATATTGCTATATAATAAAAGAAATGAACTATTTGTTAAACACTACAACATGAATTAATCTGAAAATAATTTTTCTGAGTAAAAGAAGCAAAACAAAAAAAAAGAGTACATACCATAGGATTCCATTTCTATAAAATTCTAGAAAATAGAAATGATAGTGACAGAACACAGATCACTGGTTGCGGGCAGGAGGTGGATACGCCAACAGAGCTGGGAGGTACTTGAGGGTAATGGATACGTTTATTATCTTAATTGTGTTGATGGTTTCGTTGGCGTATATATACATCAAAACTTGTCAAATTATACACTTTAAATATGTGCAGATTATTATATGCTAATTATTCCTCAATAACACTATTTTCAAAATTAGAGAAAATATTTGTAGTAGGAAGAAGCAGGGATTAGGCATAAAAGGGATCGGCATTTGCCACCATCACCACCCCTCCCATTGGCAGCACCTATGATCTACTTCACTTTTAGCCATTTATATTTTTCATTTCATCAACCAAAGGCCAGAGAATCTAGGGAGAGTGAAAGAAAATAGCTGAAGTTTGAAAAAAGCTGCCAAAACACTGATTCCTGTCTTTAGTTCATAACCACTCATTTGGACATTAGGAGCCCTTCCGACTTTTTGTACTTGAGAAGTTACTCCATCCACTTAGCAGGGAATATGAGAAGGCTCTTTTAAATCCAGAGGCTGACCAGCAACAACAAAGCTGAGCAGATGGACTGTGCTGCCCTAGTCTAAAAGGTAATAGGTACACTTAGGTAGCTTTGCAGCAATCAAGGCCTTGGAATTCTGACTGATGTGCTCCCAACTGCATTAATCTTTCCATCCTAAGTCCCAAGGATGCTGCAGGCTTTTTAGGTCTACCTTGCCTAAGATATAGTTATAGTTCTATCGAGGTTTACTTTAAAATTGGTTCCCTACATGGATGGAGCTAGAGGCCATGATCCTTAGCAAATTAACACAGGAACAGAAAACCAAATACCACATGCTCCCGCTTATAAGTGGGAGCTAAACTATGAGAACACATGAACACATAGAGAGAGATAACACACACTGGGGCTTGTTGGAGGGTGGAGGGTGGGAGGTGGGAGAGGATCAGGAAAAACAGCTGATGGGAACTAGGCTTAATACCTGGGTGAAGAAATAATCTGTACAACAAACCCCCAGGACACAAGTTTACCTGTATAACAAACCTGCATGTGTACCCCTTAACTTAAAAGTCAATTAAAAGGCCGGGCGCGGTGGCTCAAGCCTGTAATCCCAGCACTTTGGGAGGCCGAGGTGGGTGGATCACGAGGTCGAGAGATCGAGACCATCCTGGTCAACATGGTGAAACCCCGTCTCTACTAAAAATACAAAAAATTAGCTGGGCATGGTGGTGCGTGCCTGTAATCCCAGCTACTCAGGAGGCTGAGGCAGGAGAATTGCCTGAACCCAGGAGGCGGAGGTTGCGGTGAGCTGAGATCGCGCTATTGCACTCCAGCCTGGGTTACATGAGTGAAACTCCGTCTCAAAAAAAAAAAAAAAAAAAAAAATAGGCTATGTGTCTGTGAGAGTTCCAAGTCTTCAGCTTTCTGCTAATACTAACTAAAGAAAGGGAGATCTGTGGGGAGTAAGAAACAGTTGATAACAGGAAGAAAATATACAGGAGGGGCACAGAGAAAAGAGAGGAAAAGTGAAACACTTCTAGACAAAATAGTGTTCAGTGATAACTTTAAACCTTCTTTCAACTGGATAGCTATCTCAGGGCTCAGTCTAGCGCTAGTCTTTTAAAAGACAATGGAATGTTTTGGCCCATAGCTACCCTAAAACCCAGTCCATGAAAGGAGGGCAAGAATGCAAGGACCTTTCCTTTTCTAAAGAGCATGCCAACATTGTCACAAACAAGTCTGATACCTAAAGCATGTGGATCTCATTCCAGTAACAACAATCTCACAATGCAAAGCACTTTCAAGGCTTCAGTTGTTAATCAACTGCTATTCAATTCTGACCAAATTAGTCTTTGAGATAATTAACTTTTGAGAGTGAAAACTTATTAGACATTCTTTTGAGTTTTTTAAGCTTTACCCATTTATCAGTTTTGATAATCAGAACACTACTCAGTTTAATTCCTTGGAGAAAAGCTATCACCAAATTATTGTTTAATATTTTACACTCAGCATTTATCATGGGTGATTTAAAGTTTCTTTAATAAGAATGTGTGTCCAGGAGCACCCAGATACATAAGGCAAGTTCTTAATGACTTACAAAGAGACTTAGACTCCCACACAATTATAGTGGGAGACTTTAACACCCCATTGTCAATATTAGACAGATCAACCAGACAGAAAATTAACAAGGATATCCAGGACTTGAACTCAGACCTGGACCAAGCAAACCTAATAGACATTTACAGAACTCTCCACCCCAAATCCACAGAATATACATTCTTCTCAGCACCACATCACACCTACTCTAAAACTGACCACATAATTGGGAGTAAACCACTCCTCAGCAAATGCAAAAGAATGGAAATCATAACAAACAATCTCTCAGACCACAGTGCAATCAAGTTAAAACTCAGAATTCAAAAGCTAACCCAGAACCGCACAGCTTCATGGAAACTGAACATCTGGCTCTTGAATGTTGACTGGATAAACAATGAAATGAAGGCAGAAATAAAGATGTTCTTCGAAACCAAAGAGAACAAAGACACAACATACCAGAATCTCTGGGACACATTTAAAGCAGTCTCTAGAGGAAAATACATAGCAATGAGTGCCCATATGAGAAGCAAAGAGAGATCAAAAATTGACACCCTATCATCAAAATTGAAAAAGCTAGAGGAGCAAGATCAAAAAA